CAGAGCAGCCAGCTGGAAGAAACCTGAACCTCTAAATTCTTAACAATGAAGAGAGACAGTAGCACCTAGAATTCTATTAACCGCTGAATTGCATCCTTAGTAACACACTATCATATGATGTTAGGGAGATACTATCTTAATTTGGCCCTGGAGCACTAGATAAAATTTCACAAGCATTCATTTGCATCTACTCTTTATTTTGGTAGCCTACAGAAGAATAAATAATTTCTGATACTTTGTGCAATAACTGGAGTGTTCCACTTTCAAAATGCCTAGTTAATTAGAGGTGCAAGACTAAATTGCTAAGCACTGAAGAAAATATGTTACTGTGAAATTCATCGGATCTCTACTTTGTCAAGGAACGCTTTATATGGAGGTACACAGCATTACTCAACAAGATGGAGTAGAACACACCTGGATTAACATTAAGGTGCAAAGATTGTATGGGTAAATCCAAGACTGCCACTTTGCCCAACATTGGGGATGCTTTTTATATCGCAGGTTTTGTGAAAATGGTGACTCCTGTGGTCATGTTTCCAACTATCTTCATAGTCATACATTCTACACCTAGATATATTTCACAGTTAAGTTAGGATTCCCTATAAAATATGTAATTATGTTTGAGTTAAAAGGATCCTAAACATTCAGGTCAAATTCCAGTGAGTGAAATGAACTCTTACTCCAGACTCTCCGTGTCACGTGCTGTGACCGAGAGTTCAGCTGTTTTCTGGGGTTCAGTACTCCTTTCTGGGTTGATTCACCTGCTAGATCATTCTTTTTTATGTTGCTGAGTCAAAGACTTCATCTCAGTGACCTCAACCTATTCACCTTGGTTCTGTTTTCTAGAAAGTTACATGAAATAAAGCAAATTCTTCTCTTAAATAGGTCTGAGTTGCTTTGGCACCACAACCACGTCCCTCACTATTCAAGGATTTTTTAATCTACTTTCTAAAACACAAAAAGTAGATTAAAAATTTCCTATTATTATTTTTAATGAGTAAAATGTTGAAAGAAAGAAAAGAGAAAAGGAAGGAAGAAAGGAAAGGAGAGAAAAGGAAAGAAAGGGAGAAAGAAGAGCAGAGCAGCACCATAGCACCATCTGTTGTTATAAAATATCACTGCACCCCCCTAAATAGGTCTTAACTGGATGTTAAGCCCTTTCCAGGACTATTACGTTTACTATGAAGAGATGTGGCTTTATAAGTGGGTGTACTTCTCCAGCCATAATTTAATCTTCATAACCTCTCAAGAATTAATTGTTATTATCCTCATGTTCTTGATAAGACATAAAATCTTAAAGAAACGCTTACCGAGTCTTAAGCTAAGTTTAGTGTGTGAAACTGAGGTTGCCCCATTCATCCAACAATCATTTAATTAAGGTCATTCTACAAATTTTGTTCACTTTTGTTAAGAATAATGGGGAGAGGGTAACTGTACATTTTAAATGGGTAAATCTTATGATGTGAATTACATCTCAATAAAGCTGTTAGACAAAAAGATTATTAGCAGGGAGGTAGATGGAGTGGCGTAAAAGATATTTAGAAGTCAATCAAAGGGATCAAACAAAATATTGAAAAGAATAAAGACGCTGGTGACTTACCTCGAGGTGCATCAGGGAGGCCTGGATGTTAACAAGATTAGACCACAAGACAGTCATGTTCATGGCTGGAAACAGACCATCCACAGAGGCAGCAGATGCAGGAGCCTATTTCTAAATAACAGAAAAGGCTTAGCAAATCCAGTCAAGACTGCCAGGCTTCTATCCATGCAAACGTCGCTATCTTGGACCTGGATTCAAGCAGATCAGCAGCACTCAATTGTCCGCACTGAAGAAGTTTATTCTCCCAACACACGCACCGAGGACAGGAATCAGGAATCCGTGGAGAGCTCTGCAGGTTTGCAGTTCTGTCAGAGTCGGCCAGGAGTCAGCAGGGTCCTAGCCCCCGGAGCTGAGGTTCCTGGGAGAGACAGTCTTCAGGAATGGAGCCTTAAAAGAACAAGGTAGAACTGCAAGTCCTACTGGGAAATAAGAAGGAATCGACTAAATACTCACCAGCAACTCAAAAGGGACCCTCAATTTATCAGAGGCTACAAACTAGCTCACAGAGAAGGGCGTGTAAGCAAAGGTCAAACCCCTGCTCAGGGCTGCAGCGAGGAAGGTTCAGAGCACAGCGGTCAGTGCAGAAGGCGGTTGTCACAGCGTCCAGAGCTTGGGATTTGATACTCCCCTCATCTGGGTTGATGGTGGCAGAAGATGACTATATGAAGCATTCCTGTCCACCACCAGAAGATCAGGGGCTGGTGCAGCTAAATAATTTTTTTTCTCTGATATAGTCAGTTCTGGGACTAGGGCAGAAACTGGGGTAAGCCAGGTTGAAGGGTTTGGTGGACTTAGTTGTGAGGACTAGAGAGACGCTCAGAAAGGACAGGAAATGGGGCTCAAAGTAAATATATTTGGAGTGATAGTTTACAAAGTATAAAGAAAGCAAAGGAAATCATTTTTGAGTGAAGGAGCTGGTCATAGCTTGGAGGAGGTAAGTTCTGAATCAGCTCTTAACAGCCGTGATGCACTCGGGATGGGAGAGGGGAGGCAGGAGGGCTCTGCAGGAGAGGAAAGCAGCTAAGACAAATGCAGAGGAGGCCCTTTGGCTAAAGAAAGTGACACAGAATTGGTCCAGGAATACAGAGAGGTGTTCTAAGAATGCAGAGAAAAGAGATTAAACACACAAAGTGAGAGAGAAGAGACAAGAACATTAAAACTTAAATCTGGAAGAGATGAGACTTCAAGAAAATAATATGGTCATTGTACTTGAAAGAAATACTGTTTGGGGTGGGTCTGATCTGAGTAAAAGAGGAATGACTGTGTATCTTTCGACATTATCGAATAAAAGCAGTGTTCACAGTATTTATCACTTACCGTGTGTCAGGCTCAGTACTAAGTGCGTTCGCTCAACCCACTGTCTCCTCTTACCAAACAAAACGCATCGCAGAAATCTCCTAATTTTTCTATTTCTACATTTTCAATCCTCCAGTCTCTTTTCCACAAAGCATTTACATTGCTCCATCTAAAATTAAAGCAGACATGTCACTTCTTTGCTCAAAATTCCCCAATGGCATTTCCTCTTGGGAAAGGAAAATCACTAAAATTAGCATAACCTGTAAGATCTTAAATAAGTTCGCCCCTGCTGACTTCGTTCTGCACTCACGTAGACAACATTTGCTATGCCCTAGCTGTGCTGTTTTTGGAAAATTAGGAAATACTTCAAATATATAAAGGCATGTAAAGGATTTTACACTGAACACCCATATATACTTATCACTCATCCTTGGAGAAAAGTTACAAAACATGTATGAATCTCACAAATAAAAAGCTGAGCCAAACAAGTCAGACACAAATGAGTACATACTATACCGATGCCATTCTCAATCAGACAGCGTGGTCCGTGGTGTTAGAAATCAGAACAGTGTTTACTTTGGGGGAAGGAAAAAGGAGGCAGGTGTGGATACAAGGCAGGCTTCTGAAGTACTGGGCAGGTTCTGTTTCTTGATTTGGGTATGGGTGTGTTCACTTGGTGATAATTCATTGAGCTGCAACATGATTTGTGTATTTTCTGCACATATGCTGTACTTCAACTAAAAAAATTTTAGAAAAATAATACTAATAGGTTAACATTAAAAAGTCTATTAAAAGGTGTTGAACAGTATAATTTCAATTCTAAAACTGTCTTCATTTAATAGTAAATTCTTATAATGTTTGCTATTTTTGTTTATTGAACAAATATTTATTACCTGCTAGGTGCTGAATACACACACTGGGTAAACACAGAGGCCACGTCCTTGCCTTCAGGAAGCTTACCTAATATATCACTGCTATGATGAATCTATGCACTTATTAGATGAATATCTATTGAGCACCTACAAAGGATTAAACTGGGAAAATCTTCTATCCTTTACAAAGCAAACTTGTATTTATTTACGCAATGGATCTACTCCAGAACATTTCCCATCCTGATTCAAAGCAGAGATGTAGAACTGGAAAATGGTAAAAGTTACATTTTCTTTAACAAAAAAAAGAAAAGTTCAGTGAGTGATAAATTTAATAAACAATACAAAGTACCACTAATTGAGAAAAAAATGGAGGAAGGAAAAATAGAATTAAAGGGTTTTAATAAAGTTTTATTATATTAATTGCATATAATTACTGTAAGGTTAGCAATGTGGGAGGAATTTTCTCTGGTATTTCAGCAGATAGCAGGCATAAGTAAATTATTATTTATTTATTCAAATATGATTATTATTATTTACTCAAATTATTTAATTGAATGCCTTTATAAGATTACTGCAAAAAAAAGTAGTAGACAACAAAATCCCTAATTGAAAATAGTGATAACACATTTAAAATATTACTTGTACATCAAAATGATTTAAAGAGAAAATGAAACGGAAGTAATTTTGGCACAATCTAAAAAGAAAATGTGATAATACATAAATGTGTTTAACATACTCTTATAATATAGAATGTATTTTCCCTGTGCATATGGAATTTGTGTATTAAAGACTAGGTCTTTGGAAAAATAAAAGACTAAATTCACACTTGGTAACTTTTTATTCAATTATAAAACAGTTTTCCAATGTGAAAATAGATTGGATTTACTTTATATGACAATTGTATTATCTAAAACCTCACAAAATAGAGACTCTCCTCATTAAATGGTCAGGGCTAACACGGTATTGTTAAATCTAAATCTTGTTTTGGGGATGAAATTCATTATCACTTGAATGATAGTTGGACTGGTTAAGTAACCTTGTTTTCGAAGTGGTTATTTTGGCAATTGTTAGAGTTGTACATTGGCGGTTATTGACCTCTGGTGTGGGAGTGATGATAATGGATGTTAGGATTTACCTTGCAAGCATCCTAACAATGGTTGCAACGGAAGGGGTCATTATGACTTTGCCATTTCTGTCAAGTAGGTGTGATATTGTGATTACTGGATTAGCATACATAGAGGCAGCATTTGGTTCAGACTAATAAGTAATAGATAGCTTTAAACAATGTATCAGCAGAAGTTACAGTGCTTACAGAATCAGTTGATAGGGTACTGGAGGGTTTAGTGAGGTTTGTATGTTGTAGTACCATGTGCAGTAGAAATGGTGGCGGTGTAGAAATGACGAGGTGTAGAAATGGTAGTATGACTGTAGGACTGATTGATGTGGTGGTTGGTCCCTACTGCAAAATTTCAGTAGAAGTTATTGTAGCAGCATGTATTGTTGATGGAATGTTGTTGTGGCAATGGATTCATGCGAAGGCAGAGTGGAATTGCTAACTGCATTGTGACAATAAATTACTTAGTTGTGGGTGCATTTTCTATTAACAGGTATCATTATGTTTCTATTACCAGGTATGGAAATTATCATTTCAGCTGAGGTCATTAGGGTGCTGTGATTAGAAAGTCAGCTGAGCTGGTAGCATCTGTGTCACCTTTATTTTTACTGGAGGAAAGGGGGTTGAAGATGATGTTTTATTTATGTCAGAGAACAGACCAGATCCAGTCACTGAGTTGAAGGTAGCTAACGTGGTAGCGCAAATTCAGTTGAAGAGCGCACAGTAGTGTCTGGAGATTCTGTTAAACTGATATTGTAGGTTCATTTGAAATGAAAATAATTCAGACTTGAAGTTGCTGAGTAATTTATGTAGTTGTAGCTTCAGCTGAGTGGGAGGCTTTACCACTGTGGAACCATTGTGGAGTTGAATTGGTACCGTAATATTACAATGGTAGACCAGAAAATGTTACGGCCGTCAGAGATTCAGGCAATAAGAACCCGGTAGTCATGGTGCTGGGTGCAACTGAAACGGCACTTGCAATTGTGGTAACGTCTCCAGCTGAGGGAAGACGACTGGAGTTATGGTGGCAGGTTCAGGTTAAAAGATGGAGCTAACAGTTGTGTGGGTGGGATTCAGAAGAAGGGGTAACTGCGGCCGTGGCTGTAGGTTCAGCAGAAGTTGTAGAAGGGATGGTACTGGCTGATGTGACTGTACCCTTAAGTGGTAGTGCTGGCAGTTGTTGTGATAGTTGGTTCAGTTGAAGTGAAAGCAACTGTGGTGGTTGTAGGTTCAGTAGAAGTGGTAGAAGAAGGAGTGGTGGTTGTTGACGTTGTAGATTAAGTAGTAGGGCTGGCAGCTATTGTGGTAGCTGGTTCCGCTGCAGAGGTGGGCGATGCCGTGGCCGTGGATTCAGTAGGAGCAGCAGTGGGGGCGGCTGTGGTTGGAGCCTCAGCGGTACCAGTACTGGCATCTGCAGTGGTAACTGGTTCTGCTGGAGAGGTGGGTGATGCCGTGGCCGTGGATTCAGTAGGAGCAGCAGTGGGGGCGCTGTGGTTGGAGCCTCTGTGGCCACTGTTGTTGTCAGGTCAGATGAATTGGTTGCTGCTGCTGTTGTAGTTTCTGTTGAATCAGTGGTTGTTAAGCCGGTAGGTTCTGTTGAAGAGCTAGCAGTGGTTGTAGAGATGGTAGTTGGAAAAGACGTTGTGGTTGTGGAACCTACTGTAGTAGTGGGAACTGTAGTTTGGGAACTAGCAGATGAAGCTGTTTCAGTTGTCGATGAGGGTGTCCCATGTTTTTGAGGAAGATGGATAACAATGGTGGTGTTATTATTTCTCCCACTATACACCAGACACACTATGAGAACTCCAATTGCTGTTGTTATTACACAAGCTAAGAGAGAAACCAGGAATATTTTCCACAGAGACCAGTCACTGAAGAAATTCCGTGTCACCTGGAAAGGATTCATATAAACACTGAAGTTAAAACTAAATATTGCAAGAAAAATTCATGCCATTGATCATCCTTTTATATACAGATTACTTTAGTGAAAAAATGTATAAACATAAAGTGTATCTTAATGGCCTGTAATATTGGCTCAAATTTAAGTTTTCATTTACGAAAGTCTTGGTTCTTGTATTGGAATAAAGAAATTTCCACTGATCTCTCTGCTTTCTTTCTGTATGTCTGTATTTAAAACTAAAATAAACAATAAATGTTATCTTAGAAACCCTTTCTTCCTCACAGCATCGAAAGAATTATCCACTGTGTGACTTACTGCTGCATACAGCGATTTGAGGGACCCAAAAGATCATCTGATTAAACTTTCTTCCCTTTTTGGCCTCTCACGTATCAGAAATGTGTCTGCTTTGGAGTCTCCCATTTTAAATGCATTAATTAATGGCTTAACAAATATTCTAGCTAACTTTTCCAACAGGTTACTATAGTATTTGGCAGCATGAAATTTGGAGTTGAAAACATTTGTTGAAATCCAGCTTCTGCTGCCTCCAGCTGTTTTCACTGTATGGGTAAGATACATCCATAAAAATCTATGTGATAAAGTTAGAATAGGGATTAATGTCAGTAACATTACTTGGCAATCTCTCTCTCTCTCTCTCTCTCTCTGTCCATCTATCTCATATATATATATATACACACACACATATATATACATATATATATGTATGTATGTATGTATAATTTGTTATTGTAAAGGAAACATTGCATAGTATAAAACATGTAAGCCTTGAGATCAGATAGTCTTGAATTTCATACCATTAATCTTCTGAGCAAGTTTCTTAACTTCCCTAATTTTTAACTTGCCAGAAACTTCCTCCAAATTAGATTTTTGCAGAAGGCAGTGCATTGTCATAATTAAGGGCATAGGCATCGGAGTCTGACAGATTCAGGTTTAAATTTTAAACCCATCTTTTACTAGATAGATGATGGCATTTGAAAATGTGCATTGTCCTGGAAAGCCTCTGTTCCCTGGTATGAATAATATCACCCATTTCATAAGGCTACTATAAATAGTAAATAAGAAACGGTATGGATAACATTTTCCTAGCACTACTTACTTAGTGCCCAAAGAACATTTCACTAATTTCACATGATTTCACTAATTAGCTCATTCTTATCCCTTGTCTGGTGACTGAAAACGATCACTAAAGGAAACAAACAGTGCATATGTCTTTGGAGCATGTAGGGTAGCTCTTCAATGTCCCAAAATATGGGACACTGTCTTGGACAATAAACCTCAATTTGGTTTTGAGAGCGACACCCACTAGGCAATGAGGAGCAGGTCAAGGGCATTGGGTACAAAGGCTAAGGGATTCGGGGCACCAAGTAAGAGAGTCCAAAGACTAATGGCGCCCTCTGCTCCAAGTCATCTAGGCCTTAGAAAGGAAGCTAAGAGCGGAGGAGAGGAAGGATGGTACACACATCTCAGAGGCAGATCACCCTCATTTTTAAACAATTTTTAACAAGAGATTAACAGAAACTCATCTTAGCCTGACCTCAGATCTGTGCTCAGTGCTGTTACTGCCAGTAACTAGCTGTGTGAATTCTTGCCAACAAGCTAAACTTCCTGGGCCACAGTGTTTTCCATCTGTGGCTGAGTAAAGGTGTCTAAAATAATTTTCAGCTCTCTGATCGGCCTGGTTTGTTTGAGGTCATCAGAGACATATTCTCTAAATAATCCCCATCAAAAGCCTTCTTCTGCAGTGTCTTTTGTCCTAAAGAGTTTTTCCTCTCTCGTTTTATTGAAGTCTTTCCAAACTGTCCCCACAGCACGATTAATCACAGCAGGGCTGTAGTCCAGAGCCAGCAGCACCCAGTATGCCAAGCATCGCCAGCAATCAGTCAAAATCAAGTTTCCACCTTGGAGCCGGGGATGGGGGCTGAATGAGAGGAAGACTCAGAGATCAGATCTCAGGATGAAGAAAACAGAATAACAAGAAAAATGGGTGAAGAATATAGGAAATCTGCTTCTGGGCACCAAATCCAGGTGACACTACATAGTTTCTGAGTCAAGGCTGAAAACGGGTGAGGTCAGAAATAGGAGGCTGCTGGAAGGCCCACAGTGAGCCTCAGAAGCAAGAAAGGAAGGAGAGTGAGGCAGATCACCCACAGACTACGGCCTCAGGCTTTAACACATGACTTCACCCTCCACTGAGCAAGGGCTACAGTGTCACTCACTGTCAACGAATTTGCTGTCATCACCTACTCAGTCCTCCAAACAAAGGGGGCACAAAACTAAGCTTTTTTTTTAACCTTTATATGTTTTCCCTAAACTCTGCATGTTTCTTCTTTTCATCTTAAATGAAGAATCCCATAAATCTACCTGTTCTGCATTCCCTCTCAGTGACTTGACATGTTCAAAAGATGCTATAGATTTTCAAAAGAACAATGCTAATTAATTGAATGTTTTTCCTCTAAAATATTAGATCAAGTGCATTTCCATGTGGATTACATTATAACCCAAAGAAACGGTGTTGCCCCAAACATTACCTGACATTGTTGGAATTCTCTGTTTGGAAAGTTTGAGTGTCCAAGTGTCCCTGTGTTGGTGCAGACGTCAGTTAAATTGGTACCAGCATCACCAGTTACATCAACTGATGTTTTCAACCCACATGCTGAACTGTGAGCTTCATACTTTGTAAGGTTCATGAACGGCTGTATTCAGAAAAGAATGGGGGAAAAATAAGAAGCTATTGTCTTTTATGTCTAAAGCAATACACTACTGACAAATATAAATCAAATCGTGACATATTATGGCATATTTGATCAAATAAGATCATTTGAAACCAGACTAAGGAATAAATAAATACATTTATTATATTTCTTCTCAAAATAAGAAAATCTAATTAGATCAGGTTACACTTAATTATTTTATATAATTATTGATGTTAAAATTCAGACATCATTTTTTATCTTCATCATACTTAATGGATTTGTTAAATATCATTATGTGGCAAGCTGATGAAGGAAGATCACATTTTAAAAAATTTCCACAGTAGGATATGGAGAAAAGGGAACCCTCATACACTGTTGGGGGAAATGTAAATTTTTGCAGCCACTTGGAAAAAAGTTGGAGG